GATCAGGAGCGTATAACACACATTCTAGTTGTACAAGTCATCCCTGCTTGTTTCCAGTGTAGACCAATTGTCCTGGTTGGCATATCTGGTGTGCGGTGTGAAGTTTCCCATCTCAAGCGGAGCTGCAGGAGCTCTAGAGCCATGCTGACATGGAAGGGTGCAGCAGATCAAGGAGCAGCAAGGCCCAGGTGTGAGCCTCAGCAGCAAGGCAGGTGCTCAGCGCTGGCTGGGCTGCCCTGGCCGGTGCCTCTGCCCCTGAGCCTGCACAAAACGGTGCCATGTGCCAGGTCTGGTCCGAGCACGGGGAGATGTTCAAAGAGCAGTGGAAATCTGAGAGTTCATCTTTTTCCCTTAACAGAATCCATGGGGATTGGATTGATGGTATTGAGATAAAGGCTTTTGTCTGTAATGAGATCTGAATTAGCATGGACTGGATAGATGACTGTAACTACATAGCAGTATTATTGGATCTTGGATTTCTTTGTAAAAAGACAATACGTGGATTATATTGCAAAGGGGCCTGATTGTCGTTCTCCTCATGTTCAAATTACAATATTTACTCTCGCACATTGTTAGCTTTTCTCAGACTCTGATATTTGTCTACTTTCAAATAAAGATCTTATTCGGAGAAACCTTTGGATTCTGCAGCCCCTGTGTGCACAGCAGTGCCTGTTCCATGAGAGAACACGGGAGGAGTAACAGCTCTGACCTTGTTCTGACAAGCTCTGGGTCTACGTCTTTGTCTACTAGAGCTGTTCTGTGCTGCTGAGCTTTGTTTGTGAGGGGCACGGGCACAGCAGGAGCAGCTGCACTGCTGAGCTCTGCACAGGATGAGGTGCAGGAGGCGGCTGCAGTGCGGTTGAGGTGGCATACGGGCAGCTGCAGACTGGTGCCTGCATGTGCTGCATGGTGGGCATCTCATGGCTATCAGGCATCAGGTTTGTGAGGCTGCTAACCGAGCTCTGGATGTGTGAACTGTGTGTGGTTTTGCCAGCACTCAGCCAGATGATGAGCTCTTGTCCAAAGAGAGGCTGCCTGCTCCATCCTGCAAGCGTTCTGCAATCTTTCAATTACATCTCTTGTTAATGATGGCTATCAGCAGGTTCTCAACAGTATTATTGTGTTAAGTTCCTTTGAAAATGTGCTTAATCCTCGAGAAACTGAGCCGGTGTCTGCATTCATCTACTGTAAGAGCTGATTAATTGGGATTTTGAAGTCTGTTCATTGTATGAATTACACGCCGCAGAAATTGTCCTTGCAGCATTCTTTACACTTTGTATCATACTGCTGGCGTTCTGTGAATACTGGCGATGAGTCCAGAGGAATCATCTGAAGGAGAAATGCAGAGGAAAACATGAAAAACAAGCTTCTCAGCTCCTTTTCCATAGAAAGGAGTGTTAAGCATCACCCTGGTGCTGATGCAAAAAGTACAGCCGTGAGTTCTTAAAGCTTCACTTCACTTCTGGAGGAGATCATACACGAGGACTTCTTCCTCTCTGTATTCTTGCTGCTCTGGTGGGTGGTGGTTGTTGGTTCTTTTTCTCTCGCTCTGTTGCAATATTTTTCTCTTGCGAAGATTTGCCTGAAGCAAGAGACCCATCTCTCAGTCTCTTAGGAATCATCATGATGAGCACTTGAGACTGTAGTAGGAAGTGAGGTTAAATTATTTGCCATCACCTTCAAACAGATCTTTTGGAAGCAAAAAATCCCCATGTCAATAAATTGCTTTTGTGTTTCTCCCTTTTCCTGACATCCCGGGGACTCCATTTCAAATCCGTGGCACAGAAGTGCATTCTCTCCCAGTCACTCTGTGTGCGTGTGCCTCAGGTGCCATCTTCCTCATTCTTGAAGAAAATAGTTATTGCGTGGCTCCCCGAAGATCACCAAGTTTGGGTTGTTTGGCTTTTTGTATGTTTTTTTTTTAAAGCCCTCTTTAGGGATCGTGGCACAGAAGGTCTGGGTGCCCCAGTGCAGATGGGGTTTGTTTCCCTTCTGTGCTGCTCAGTGTCTCCCAGTCACACACGAGGCACTGCTCAGTTTCTTGCTGCACCTGATGCCTGAGTTCATTGCTGGCTCCTCCAAGGCCCCCAGTGCCAGGCAGCCTGCAGGCCAGCCCCTCTGCTGGGAGGTGCTCACAGCCAATGCTGAAGCTCCTGGTACTGCTGCTTTTGTCTGCAGGAAGCTAATGTCTTCTGTGGGTTTTCTTCTCTTCCGGGAATAATTAATAATTTAATTTGTATGCATCCCTATATTGCTATTCCTGAAGTGTGTGCAACTTTCTGCTTGGCTTCTCCGGGAAAACAGCAAAATGCTCTCCAAAATAAAACTGCTGAAGGTGCAGGTAAGGTGGTGCCTGTCGTGTCTGAAAGCAGACTTCAGGCGTCAGCCTGCTGATGTGCTACTGGGATGTTGGTTTGGTGTCAGCTAGAGGGAGCAGGAGAGAACCCACTCAGAACCCACTCACATGGTGTTTTCTAAGTATTGGAAGTCCGAAGGCAGTTTGCTATGTAAAACATGGCTGTTGTTTTGAAGGACATTTGCCAAATCAAATTGAGGCTGAAGTTGTGCTTGCAGTCGTTAAAAGGCAGCTCAGTCTGTGTTTCCATGAACAGCTGTATGCTCCTGTTAGTGCAAGATCTCTGCTGTGTAAATGAAATCATGCATGCCTTCCTGGGTGGGGAGCTGCATTTGACTCCATATCCAGACTGTACACAAACTGTGTGTAATACCCAGCAGAATGGCTCTTTGCAACAGATTTCATCCCTGTTACTGGAAATTCAATTATGTTTTTCAAATCCAATTCATCTCTGAGACTTTCATACTTGGGCATTGTTAATATTGCTCCTTTTCTTAAGTTGGTTTTGCTCAGGTTTCTTGCAGATACCTTCGCTTTGCATTCAGCCAACTGTGCCTCTGGAACTTAATATGCCTAATCAGTATTGTTTGTGTGCAGAATTTCAATCCCAGCTCCTCTTCCCTTGGCATGCATTTCTGTTGCATTGCTAATTTGGTAGTGTAGCTGAGCTGAAACCACTTAAAAGCTTTTTCCTTGTCAGGGCTGGAGATGTAATAAGGTCTGTAATCAATGAGAGGGGAGTGAAATAATGAAAACGACAGTATGTGAATCTTCACAGTCTGGAAGCTCTCACTCTGCTGAATTATTTTCAGAATTTCAGTGTTTCTGACACAGTTGAAATGCAAAACTGAGGCTTTGGTAGAGGGAATGTCAGCCAAAACAGGTTGGTGCACGATGGTAGTTAGAGAGGGAAACTACGAAGGGGAAAAAGTGTAGGCAATTAAGATGTTCATAGAGGGGGGTTATGTTTTCATTTATTTTCAAGGTCCTCACTGTTGCAGACAGGGTAAGGCATTTCTTGTGCTTGTAGGATTTCTGGAAGAAGATGGTGCTCTCTCTGTGCTCATTTGTAATTCAGTCCACCACCACCACCCTTCTCAAAGGAGGAAAAAGGGATTGTGTGAACGTGCTGTGATCTTGGGAGTGTGGCCCAGCTCCTTTTTGGTGCCCGGCCCCTCAGTGAGCGCAGTGCAGGAAGACACACAGCTGGCACAGTGAGCTGCTGCCCAGGGCAGGCTGCTGGGCACAGTGCTGCAAAAAAGGCATCTCTTCCCTCTTCTGTCCCCAACATGAGTATTTCCTTTGATTGAAAATCCCTAAGGCATTTGCAGGGTGATTTTGAGAGCTGTGCCTGTGCTTCTGTCCGTGCTTCTGTCCGTGCCCAGCCCTGCAGGAGGGCAGGCAGGGCTGGTGAAACGACTGGGCTGCCTTGTTGCCGCCCATGGGAAATAATGGATTGCACTTCTGCTGCTTTCCTCGCACAGCTCAGGACACTGAACAAGCAGTAATTATGTTTCACAAATCCCCAGTGATATGGGTAAGTATAATCGCATGTTTGGCAGCCAGACAGATTGAATTATGCAGGTGTTACTTGGCCAAGGCAAGACAAGGTGTTAGTGGGCAATTTCAGACAAAACTCAAAGGCTCCCGTATCTCTGTAGTGCCCTGCTTTATGCTTTGGCAGCGCTGTTTGCTTTGCAGCAGTTGTCTGCTTCTATGGCAGTGGCAAGAAAGCTGCCTTACAGCCTGCATTCACCAGGTGATGTCACCAGGTTACACCTGTGTCTCATGTCTGACAGTAAATGCTTAGGGTGCAAGCCCACGGCTCAAAATATTGCATTCCACTTATCTCTGCTGCTGAGCATTTTGGGTCTCTGTGGCTTAATTTCTAAGTTCCCATTTTCCATCTGCAAAACAGTTCTTTTTTGTCTCTTGCATTTGATGTCCAGCAGATGAGAGGAGCTCTGAGGTTGTGCGTCCTGCCATGCTGGGTGCTGCGGTGACAAACGACTGCCAAAGCTGCTGCAGTTCGTATGGCATGGATGTTTGCATTCCTTAAGCTCTCAGCTGTCATAGCATTTTAAAGGCAATCGCTGGATTCTAAAGGATGTTTCGATCTCTGTTGGTACAGGGAAGGGGTGTAAGTCAGCGCAAACAACCGGAGCTTCCTGAGGCTGTGCTAATAGCAGGCGCATTCGCTCAGTTCTCTGGAGTGCCCCTTTGGTTGCATCTGAAGTGATGCTTTCTTCCCCCAGTCTGGCTGTGACTTTCAATTAGAGACTGGGATTTGGAGCACAACAAACCATCAGACTTTAAAATACCAGCTGTGCTTTATTTTTAAACGCTTTCTTCTTTCAAAGCCACGCTTTGGGAGCACGCAGAGCCTGGTGTTCTCTATCTGAGGTGGTGGTCCCTGTGGGTTACAGTTTCAAGTTTGTGATAATGGTAGGATTTGTAGAGTAACTTGCAAGCGTTGATGATTCTGCTGTCGAGAATGAAAGATACCTTTCTTTAAAATTTGTGTTAATTAGTAAAATCATAACGTTTTTAATGTATTGCCTAACACACGCATTGCTTTCCACATACTCCAAGAGACATCAGAAAGCACCGCACCTTACTGTCCTTCTGTGTGCGTGCTGTGCAGGGCAGGAGCGCATCGGCAAGGACTCCCACTACGAGCAGGAGGGGAAGGTGCAGTTTGTGATCGATGCAGTGTACGCCATGGCACACGCACTGCACCACATGAGCAAGGATCTGTGTGCTGACTACGCCGGGGTCTGCCCTGAGATGGAGCACGCAGGAGGCAAGAAGCTGCTCAAGTACATCCGCAGCGTTAACTTCAACGGTGAGTGGGAGCTGCTCCACCTGTAGCACCCTGCCTGCATGGCTTGTCGTTCCATTCAGTCTCATTCATGTATTTATTCGTTCCGCTCAGGTGATGCTTTTGTTTTAGCCTTTCACTAGAGTTTGTGGCAGAAGACCGTGTCTATTTAGCATCTGTAAGCATCCTGCTTTAGCTGAGGTGGATAGGCTACTGCTCTGCAAAGACAGAAATTGCTGCTGCTGTTCTAGGATGCTTTCCCAAAGCCTGTGATTTCCTGTGGGAGAAATAGCTGAGTAAATGCCCAAGTTTTTCTTCATCTTAATATGTCTGTCCCTGTTTGTGTTCTTTCTTGTATTTGGAGCAAGCTAACTGGAAGAAATTCTGGTATTTTACCTGACTTAGCTCAGCACTCAGGAGAAGAGAGAACAGCTAAAGAGCCAGGTCCATTTGCAGAATCACATCTATAATGTAGACAGAGTGATTACCCCAACTCCAGTAGGTATTTAGAGGAGTTGTAACATCATAGGAATGGGGATGGGATGACTTTATCCTTTTGTGTGCTTATTGTTTATCTACCAACTTTTTACCAGTGGATGTAACAGCTGCAGTACCAACCCAGTGTTTCATACAACACGATGGGCTTTGACATATCTTTATGTGCATTGCACTGTATGAATTAGACCTGGATATTAGGAACGTTTCTCTGCCTCTCTGCATTTTACTGTAATCTTATTACAGTTTCATTAACCAACACTTGCCTGCAACTAGAGGGGGACCAGAGCTGATTGCTTGCAGGGGTAGCATTACAGCAACCTAATGTTATTTCCTCTTCATAAACATTGCTAATGTGTGTACCAGGAGGTCTGACTGCTCTGCCCTATCTCTGAATAAGATAAAGATCTGAGACTTAACCAGGAGCCATTGAGAGACTGGGGACCTACTGCCTAGCTCCCAGAGTTGTTGCATGATAACTTTAGTTTCCTTCTTTGTGTTTTCTTGGTCAGTCCTTTAAAAGATGACTTTTCTTCCTCCGTTTGTGATTGATCTACATGGCCGTGTGGCGTTTTTCTTTGTTTGCATACACGTAAGTGGCATCCAGCACAGGGACTTGAAGTAGCAGTTTGCTTTATTACTGGGGGAAGGAGGATGGTGACAAAGTGAAGAGAGGTTTAAAACCTTTAAACTGCTCGCGGCTACTTAGCCTTGAACATTTCCAATGGGAAAAGAACCAGCTCCTGCAAGGGTTATTATCTGAGGGAGGAATTCAGCTTCTCGTTGCACTCATAGTGCAGAACTGTGTATGGGTTTGCACAGCCGTGCTCAGCATTCAGCTGCAGCCCTCCTGGGGGAGGTTCCTGTGGATGTGGAGAAAGGTTCTGCAGAGCTTGCTTTTTTCTGTGCTGTATGAAAGTAAATTCCCAAAATTGCAATGAATTCATTCAGCCAACCTGGGATCAACAGCTGCCATATAATGCACTGAGCGGCCAGCCTGCAAACGCAGGTGGATGTGGGAACAGAAGCAACAAGAGAGCACTTGTAGGTAGGGTTGTGTAGTGCTGTTGTGGTAAGGCCTGGGAGCCCTGGGGACAGCAGTGCTGGTGCCCACGTCACGTCTGCCTTGGCATCACGCTGTGGTGGGGCTGCTGGGTTTGCTTCAGCAGTGTTATGCTAGCCCTTACCCTGCTCCTCTCTGGGTCGCTGGTGCAGCCATGCAATTCTTTTCATCAGAGGTAGGGCTTGGAAAACAACATTTGGTCTGTGCTTAAACTCTTGTTCTACCAGCTCTCTACCTAAACTCGTAGTAGAAACAGAGCAGAGCAGTGGGGTTCTTTGCCTGAACCGTGATCTGGAGAGATAAAATGCAGCCCATTTCCGAGCCGATCCTGAGCCCATGAGCTGGAGATCTCTGTGCATTTAATGGCTCGCTCTGTCACGATGAAGCTGAAGCCATCTCGCCTGTAACTGCTTCTAAAGCCCTTTCTTCCCTGCAAGGGTAATGACATTCACGCAGAAGGAGCTCAAGCAACGTTTTAATGAAGAGAGACTGGATTTGTACGAGGAGCTCAGTGTGAATTTTGATATTGGTCACATTATCTTTAGAACAGAAAGCCTCCAAATACCGAAAACTTAAAACTCCAAGCGCTCGTGCAGTAGGATTCTGAAAATCCTATGGTGCAGAGAGAAGGTTGTGTTTTTTTTCCCCAGTGAAAAAGCTGAAGGCTTTGTTCATCCGAGCCCTTCAGGTCCTCAAACCGCAGTCAGCGTGGATGGAATAATAAAGAAACACCTTGGCTAGGCACACCTGTCTGCCATCCTGTCCTCCTCCTATTAATTCGTTTCTCATCTTGTGGTGATTAAGGGATTGAAATTCTACAAATTCAGTCAGATGGCATCTCCTCTCGAATGCATCCTGCAGGTGAATGGGTGTCATGTGCTCTCCATCTGTGTGGTGAAAGGACAGCTTATTTGTTGGGAGCTGAAGATGAATTAAATTGTCATAGCCTCTGAATGAGCAAGGAGCTGCAGCCTGCAGGCTACTGCTCAGTTTCTGAAGTGCTTGCTGGAGCTGTAGCAAAATGGTATGAATCGTAGCAGAAGGAAAATAAATCCTAAATTATATTCCAAAAAAAGTGAAAGCTCATCAACCAAATATTGTCATAATTATAAGATCAAGAAGTGAAGTAATAAATAGAACCAATTTTGGAAATCCTTTTGTCTCTGCGAGGAGGTTTTCATGCATGCCTTATTTTCATGAGTGCACAAAGGAGCTGGAACTGCACGTAGAGGCTGAAGTGCTGCAGTGATTTAGAGCAGGATGGGAGCGATGGGGTCCCTGCAGACAGAGCACCAGCACACAGCACAGCCCAGCAAAGGCTGCAGAAGGTCGGTGCTTACAAAGCAGGTCCTTGGCTGGGAGTGCAATTGCTCCAACTTCAAAGCTGGGAAACAGGAGGCTTTGACTTAACTTCTGGGACCATCCCAGTTCTCTACGTTTCTATAGCTGGATGTCTTCCCTGCAGTTTGCAACCTGTTTCACAGGTTGCTTTTCTTTTTTTTCCCATGTGATTCTAAAGCAGAAATGATGGTGACCTGCAGACGGCAACAGGTGTGCACTGCAATCAGGTCCCCACATCGGTGCATAGTAGTCCTTGTCCCAGGAGCTGTGCTGTGGAGGTGACCCAGCACTGATGCTGTCCCATGCCAGTTCTGCAGCAGCCACATACAGCACTGCTCTTCAACTGTGGTATTCAAAGTAATCCTTAAAAACTGCCTATGTGCAACAATTAGCAGGAACGGGCAAAACGTTTTACTGCTCCCACAAAACACAGAAACAGCACAGCTTGGAGTAGCAGCTCTGGATTGCACCTTTATTTTTGTCAGTTCTGGAAGAAAAAAAGCAAAACCAAAACAAAACAGAAACAAGCTTAACTAATAATATACAGCCCTTTAGAAGTCATGATTAGCAAAACACCATTTCCCATTTGTGCTGACTTTCAGGAGGAGCCAAGGAGTTAAGGAGTTATGGCCATAACTCTTCATTCTAAGCATTTTCATTATAAATGTGTTCCGGGTACATGAATCTGTAATGACAATTAAGTATCAGCTTTGTGCTCATAAGGAACCAGAGAGATCTCCGTGGAAGATTTTCTGTACCAGCCTTTGAACTGAATCCATATCTGATCTCTGAGGCTTGCAGGGTAGACAGGAAGCCATTTACCAGAGCTGCAATGAAAACTATGCTAATTTACTTCTTCAAATTTTCTTTTGCTCTCTGGAATTCAATGAAGAATGGGAATCATGAAGAAAACCATAATCTTAAAGTTCAGTGCTACTGCAGGAGAGATTTTTCATTGCTTTGGGTGGAAAAAAAAGAGATGCAGAAGGAAGCAGCTTTGAATATAGAGATGGTAGAGCTGAAATCTTCAATCTTGACACAATATTACTCTGCCACACCTAAGCCTATTTTAATGTATGTTGTGATAAATGTGACCCTTAAAGAAAACGGCATTGCTCTACATTCTCCTTTAGAAAGGGGTTCACTTCTGACACCGTGGCAATTCAGGTGCAGGTGCCCTGGGGAGCAGTTATCCATGCAAGGACTGGGAATGGTTGGTAGCAGCACTGGGGGTCAGTGCTGGGCAGCTCTGCTCAGCAGCAGCATGGGGGGGCTCTGGAGGGATGCTTGCTTTCCTGCTGCCCTGCATCCAAGCCCTGTGTTGGTTACCCTGGTACGTGGCAGGTGAAGTTGATGCAGCATCCTGATCTGAGTGGCTCCAACCCGAGGTGCTTCTCAGCCTGTGTCAGTTTCACAGAGACTCAATAAGGGAGCACGCAAGGAATGATCTTCCTATAGTTTAGTCTGTTCTTTTCCACCCCAACTGCATGCTGATTACAGGAATAAGAACATATTGTGGAGGAGGAAGCTATTTCTGGATGCCAATCAAGATTCACTAGACCTGGGCTGACTTCTGACAGCAGTATCTCTCAGAAGCAGATGGAACATTTTCTGGGGGAAAAAAAGAATCATTTAAAGGCTCCATTCACAAGTGTGATTTTCAGTAAAGAACTCCCTAAGGAAAAAGAGATGGGGAGGGAGGCTGGAGGGCAGGAAGAAAAGCCTTCTGATATTTCTTGCTGTTTGCAAAGCTCAAGTGAAGGAAAACTGATCTGGTTTTGCTTCATTTTGTTTTCAGTCAGTGGGTTTGGGCAGTAGTAGTTAATCAGGGAAGAGGACTAGGATTATTCCAGCATGTCCTGAAGTATCTGCGTTAGATGGCTTGCTGATAGATAACCAGTGCTTGAAATACATTGCCAGTCTGAAAGCTCCCAGGCATGACTAAATAAAATAGCTGCTGTAAAGCTTTGGCTTTTCCTTTTTTTTTTTTCTTTCTCTTTTTTTTGGTTGGATTTGGTCTTGTTTCCTTCCCCCAGGCAGTGCTGGCACTCCAGTGATGTTTAACAAAAATGGTGATGCACCAGGGCGCTACGACATCTTCCAGTTCCACACCACCAACACCAGCACCCCAGGCTACCGCCTCGTCGGGCAGTGGACGGACGACCTCCAGCTCAATGTGAGTCCATGCCAGTTTCTCCTCACTCATTTCTTTGCTCTCAGGTACAGCAATTAGCTCTGTTTTCCTTTTTCTCCACCGTGCAGGAGCTAACGTAATCACTATTTCTCTGCAGCTGTGCAGTGCATTATTTCTTGCATCTCTCCTGACACCTTTTATCTGTGCTGTGAGTACCAAAGCTCCTCAGACAGATAAGGACATCAGGCAGTCATGCAAATTTTATTACCTTTGCATGTCTGGAGTCCCTGGTTGCCACGTTGGAAAATAAACCAGTAATGCGCTGTGGTTTGAAACCAATGGGCTTTCATTTGTAGATGCTCTTCAGTTTTTCTGTTTTTAAAAAAGCTGAAATGAAGTATTTCTTGAGTGAGTCACTTTTGCTGTTACTTTTAAGTGAAATACATCCATATGAATGAGATATCTCTTCTGTAACGATGCCTGAAAGAAAAGTAAGGATGTAAGAATAGGTGATCAAAGATTCCCCAGACATTTTGCTGTTGCCCAGATGAACAAACAAAGATGACTGTTGGCTGAGAAAGCTGGGAGCTCTTGTCAGCTCTACCCACATGAGGGTGATGACAGGTCCCTGGCCTACAGACCTCCAGAGATGTGGGCTCAGGCTTCCTGCTTGGCGCTGTGCATGTGCTTGTGCCCCATAGGCATGGAGGGATGTGCTGCTTAACCACACAGCTCCTTGGCTCCCTACAGGTTGTCACAGAGCAGAGAGGTGATACCTCCAGTTCGATCTGACTGTTCTGCAGCAGCAGAAATGGCCCAGAGCCGAGGTATTGCTGAAGTGGAATGCCAGTTGCTACAGAAGGGCTTTCCTCTCCTGGTCCAAACAATAATTAGTGTGGATTACCAAGGGTGCAGCCTTTGAGACTAACCACAGTGTTGTGCTCTCCTTGAATTCTGATGCTCTTTGATTTGCTATTTCCGTCTTTCACAACTTCTGATGCTTGACTCTCCTTTATAGACTTGGAATTTACAATTCTTTTAGCAAAAAATTTAATATTTTATTAAGTAAATCTTTATATAAACTACGCATCCTGGCTCATTAATATTTAAAACTAAATTAATGGAGCTTGATTTGTATTCCTGCCGTTGTGCTAAATGTCTCCATAAAAAGCATTCCTCACCCTCATATCCTGAAGGCTACAGTGTTGTGTCAATAGCTGAGACTGTCTCAGTAACTTCCCTTCTCCTCACGCACAGGATTAGCTTTGATATGACAGTCCCTGTGTTTTTTCTTACAATAATAAGGAACATTCTGGAGTTTAGAGGAGTCAAGGATGCCCTAAAATAACCAAACAAAACAGAAGCTGCTATTAAGTATCTCCCAGGAAAACTGCCAAAGTCTGCAATTTATTTTCAGTAATGGACGTCGAGGTAACGCTTCAGGATATTTTCCCAATTCTCATTTCTTTAATACCAACACAAGAGGGGAGACAAAGGACGGTTGGTGAGAGTGCTGATTTTAATTTAGAAAATGCTGAAACGATGCTCTGTTTTCCACAAGAGTTGCCATTTGGGGCTGTCTGGTTTAGTTCCGTGTGTCTGACTGTTCTCCATCACAAAAGAGAAGTTGTTCTGTCCAGTTATGCTGCCATTAATGGTAAGGGTGCTCCAGGTCTCAAAAGCAGTAGGCAGATAAGTGCCAAAGACTGTCCTAGCTGAGTAATGTGGTTTTTTCTTTACCACTGTCCTCATTCAAAGAAGCTGAGAGCATTTTGCTGTTATTTTTCCCATGGAAGCAGTGTTGCTGTTCAGTCTACGGTCAGTCCAGTCCTACAGTGGTGTATGTCGTCTTCCCATTCTCACCCTTCTGTAGTGAGAGGCAGAAGTGTGGAGTTACGATGCTGATTAATCTTCATTAGCTGCACCATATTTTTTTCACAACAACTGCTTGACTTTTTATGTCGCAGAAGACAATAGATAGGCTGAGGAGATCTTTAGCAACATATATTTACAAGTCTTACGACAAGCCATGCCAGTTTGTTTTCTCGTAGTTATCATCAGTTTACAAACCTGGTTTTTTGAGATGTCTGAGTGTGTTTCTCTCGATCCCAGTTGCTTCTCCACATCTTTGTATCCCGTTTGCTCTCTTGTCTGGCAGCAGTGTTTGGAGAAAGCAGATATCTGCTCCCCACACACAGGAGCCAGGCTCAGATCTGCCTGTAGGTATGTGAGGTGTCTCCTCTGAGTGCAGCTGACTCACCCTGCATTTACATTTCTGTATCTGAGGTCAGAATTTTATTGATTACCAAGAAAATACTTTATCACTCTCACTGCAGCAGAGTTGGGCCATAACGTAGTTTTTCCATAAGGCCAACATAGTTACCAAATTTTCTTTCACTTGCTTGATCTCAAGCAATCTAACACAGCTTAGCCTAACGCTCAAGGCATGATTTAGTAAAGATGTTGGCTGTATTTCACAGATATCTACACAAGGGTAAAATGAGCAGATGTCTAATTTTAAATGGTTTGGCCAGTGTTCCATGAAAAACTGTTGCAGTGCTGTGTTCTCCCTGCAGTGAGGTTGATTACACGATGCCCCACCATCTCCCACAGGAGGTCATGGCAGAGCGTGTCACGAGGGTTATGTCAAGTTCTGTCAGCCCCCGGCATGCGGATCTAGTAAACAGTATTTATAGTTTGTGCCCTCTTATGGTTTGAAAAGCTTTCCCTGGATTTTAGGGTTGGAAACTCGGCCAGCTGCGTCCCCAAATGACATGCAGTCTCGTGAACCCCAGAGCCTGCTCAGCAGCAGAGATGCAGCCCGTGCAACTGGATGAGAGCATCGCTGGCCTATGTTCTAGGTTTCATAAGAGCGTTGGAAACCTGGACTCTCTTGTACTTTGCCAGTGCTGAGAAATATGCTTTTGTATTATTAAATAGATATAAAGCATTTATAACATATAAGCATCAGTACAAGGAGAGCTATTTTGAATGTGTTTCAGAACAAGCAGTGCTACTGATGGAAAGGAGGAAATTTACCGTGGGGAAAAGGTGTCAGATAGCAGCTGGGTTTTGTTTGTTTTACACTGGGTAACTTTTAGCGTGTGGAGGATTTTGGTTTTGTTGTGTTCTTGTTTGTTTGTTTACTTGATTACTGTTATTTGTGCTATTCATGCAGTAAGAAATAGGGAAGCTTGATTTGAACCTTGAATTTTAGAAAGGCAGTGAACTGTCTGTGCTGTTCTACCCCGTAGATCCTATAATGGGTGCCTTCCTGACATGTGTGCCTCTGTTCCTCCATAAAGCACTTAGGGCTTGGCCCATGGAAGGCACTTAGAAATGCCAGGAACTGGCTGACTTCTGTGAATGCAACTTCCAATGCTTTGAGGTACCTGAAGAGGACAAATGCGCCTCTCATGGAGGAGCTGATGCGTCTGAAGGAGGCAGAAATGGATTGCCTCTAGAGGAATGGGAGGTTCTCATGGGAGATGTAGTGATACTGCTTCTCTTTCGCTATGTAGTTAACTCAGCATGCCTCAGGTTTATTATGTTTTCATGTCCAAACCTCTGCAACTGCCCTTGAGCTGTCAAAATCCAAAAGTAAAGGGAAAAAAATCCCCATAAAATTGCTGAATCTTGTTTTTCCAAGGATTTGTCTATTGCATACCCTAGCACAGCAGCATTCTTTATCATGTTCCCTGGGACTCCATCCCATACTTGTCTCCACTGTTTCCCTGCAGTGCTTGAACTCGCTCCCGCACCCCTGTACCATTTGCTGCACAAGCAGCATCCTGCACTGTGGCTGCCTTTGAACAGCCTTTTTCTTCCATCTGTACCCCACTTTCCTGTTTTGCACTGACAAGCTCTTGGGAGTCATTAAAGCCAAGGCTGTTTGCAGTTGGCAGTTTGTTGCATGGTTTAATCCCACTGAGCTTGGACTTGGTGCAGCTGTGCCAGCACCATGGCAGCAGCACTGTGAGCAGGAGGTCTGGGCCCTTGCAGAGGGAACAAATGAGCTGTTGGCACTGAGGTCCTGCACGATGAGCTGCAGGTCTGGACTGAGAGCTGTGCCTCCCATCTGTTGGTGTCTGTGTAGGTTGCATCATATTATTTTAATTGCATCAGCATCTCCCGCTCAGTGCTGTGACATGTAAAGGTGCCACTGGCAGCTGGGTGCTGGTCTGAGGCTGAAGTGCATTTTTCAGGATGACTGAGGGTGCATCCCCAGCTGATAAAGAGCAGAGGTGGAAAGTGTGTTGCCCTGCCCACTGCTATACTGCAGAGATCTCAGGGAGCCCCAGCTTGAAACGTGTGTCACTTGCAGAGCATCAGACTGAGTTCACTGTTAGTTCCAAGTGAAATTAAAGTATCTCTAATTAATTCTTTTTGTAAGCAGGAACAAATACATATTAAAGATGCCTAAACACCCTGTGTGCAGAAATAAACAAACAAATCCGTATTGTTTTAATGATGTGCCCTCGAATGGTCCTGATGGACGAGAGACTGAATATGAGCCAGCAGTGCGCTCTGGCAGCTCGAAAGGCAAATGGGATCCTGGGCTCCATCAGGAGAGGGGTGGCCAGCAGGGACAGGGAGGTGATTGTCCCTCTCTACTCGGCTCTTGTGAGGCCCCATCTGGAATACTGTGTCCAGGTGTGGAGCCCTCAGTACAAGAAAGACATTGAGATTTTGGAAAGGGTCCAGAGGAGGGCAACTAAGATGATCAGGGGGCTGGAGCACCTCCCCTATCAGGACAGGCTGAGGGAGTTGGGCTTGTTCAGCCTGGAGAAGAGAAGGCTGCGGGGTGACCTCATTGCAGCCTATCAATACCTGAAGGGAACCTACACCCAGGAGGGGAGTAAACTCTTCAAAAGGGCTGACAACAGCAGGACTAGGGGAAATGGATCCAAGTTGAAGGAGGGAAGATTTAGGTTGGATGTTAGGGGGAAGTTCTTTACTAGGAGAGTGGTTAGGCCCTGGAACGGGCTGCCCAGGGAGGTTGTGGATGCCCCGTCCTTGGACGTGTTTAAGGCCAGGTTGGA